ATTGGGTTAAGAATGAATCCGGATATTTGTTACGGCCAGCAATCAATTGTTTGTGATGAATTAATTCAATAAATTATGTAAACAAATTAGATTTAAATAGTATTTCTCTATGTACACAAAAAAAAAAAGGTAAGATCCTTATTGATAGAACATGTAGAATAATTGCAAGACCATTTTATCCATGTCCACCACTTTTTATGAAGCATGGTTCAAAATATCGGTCGATATCGATATAAGTCGTATTCGATTTGACATCTTCTGAAATGATATGTATAAATTTCAAGTCTTGCATGATTGATTCGGTCGAGTTGTATTTAAGTGAATTTCGAATCGTCAAATTATCGTTACCAATTCGATCGATATGGTCTTGTGAAGTCGCAAAATGCCCAAGCTTATATCATTGGACCAGCAGCTCATTGCTATCACACTGATGGAGTACCTTATATCAGACATTTATTTAGTTAGATTGGTTTGTCTTTAGTTTTTTGCGGCTCAAATTGATTTAGTATTATTGATATGAGGATTATAATAAATCTACATTCCTACACGACTCTACTATATTCTTTTTATCTCTCCTTATCCCCATTTAAACCATTAGAACAATATCTACGTTCCTACAGAATTGCTACATTCTTTTTATCTCTCCTCATCCCCATTCAAGAGATTGACTTAGACGATTATATATATATATAATAAAAACAAAATATATTCTAATATCTATTAAAACTCTAATAAAAAAATTATCTCTAATAAAATATAGGTTCAATCTTTTATTAGAGATAATCTTTTTTATTAGAGTTTTAATAAATAAATAAATAAATATATATATATATATACACACACCTATATATATCTATAATTCAATCTATATAATAAGCAATTCAAATGCGTATTTTAAAATCTATATAATAAATTAGATAAATTTATTTGTCTTGAAATTTTTGCTGCTCGAATCGTTTGAGAATTATTGATCCAACAATTCTAATTAAACTTTCCTTCATTTTAAAACTCTAAGACTTCCATCTTTAATATAACTCTCTTTCTCTTTATATCTCATACACCAACTCTCATATGTATATAACCTTCTCTCTCTCCCTCCCAGATATTTTAAACACACTCTCCCATCTCTTATACTCTCTCTCTCTATATATATGAGATAGAATGAAAATCAAATTAGATCATTAAAACAAACAAGTTATCTCATACTTTCTCTTTTAGTATTATTTGTTTGTCTTGACGATCCTAATTGAACTTATTTACTCAAAACATTTGTATGATTTTATAGATTAAAAAAATATAAATAAAATTCAAGTTGATCACCAATAAAAAATAACGAGTGTTACCAATTGCACTCGTTATGTCGTGAAACGATAAAAGAGTTAGTTAAATCAATTTTTTTTTATGTAGTGAATGTTTGATTTTGTTGTTTTGGTTTAATTGTAGCGTGAGAATATTTCTGTAGCATCCTAGAAATCATAGTAGCAGATAATTTAAATAAATTGTCCTTTTAGCTACAAGCAAATTCGTTGGACAATATTGTTCAATTGGGTATTTTTTTTATTTTTTGAAAATTTAATTTGTAATTCAATGTGAACTAGAAAACATATTCATTGGATTTATCAAGAGGTTGAAAAAATGAACACTCATTGGAAAGAAGAATCGCCATGAATAAATATATGACTGGATAATTTTGTAATGGTGTTAATTTAAGTTCATAGGGATTTTCGAGTGGTGTTAATGTAATATAATTTTTTCATTTCAATCATTGAACTTTTTTTATTTAAGACATTCCTAAATGTCCCATTTGTTTGAAAATTTTTTTATGTTAAGAGTGTCTTCAGACANGTTTGTGATGAATTAATTCAATAAATTATGTAAACAAATTAGATTTAAATAGTATTTCTCTATGTACACAAAAAAAAAAAAGGTAAGATCCTTATTGATAGGACATGTAGAATAATTGCAAGACCATTTTATCCATGTCCACCACTTTTTATAAAGCATGGTTCAAAATATCGGTCGATATCGATATAAGTCGTATTCGATTTGACATCTTCTGAAATGATACGTATAAATTTCAAGTCTTGCATGATTGATTCGGTCGAGTTGTATCAAAGTGAATTTCGAATCGTCAAATTATCGTTACCAATTCGATCGATATGGTCTTGTGAAGTCGCAAAATGCCCAAGCTTATATCATGGACCAGCAGCTCATTGCTATCACACTGATGGAGTACCTTATATCAGACATTTATTTAGTTAGATTGGTTTGTCTTTAGTTTTTTGCGGCTCAAATTGATTTAGTATTATTGATATGAGGATTATAATTAATCTACATTCTTACACGACTCTACTATATTCTTTTTATCTCTCCTTATCTCCATTTAAACCATTAGAACAATATCTACGTTCCTACAGAATTGCTACATTCTTTTTATCTCTCCTCATCCCCATTCAAGAGATTGGCTTGGACGATTATATATATATATTATAAAAACAAAATATATTCTAATATCTATTAAAACTCTAATAAAAAAAATTATCTCTAATAAAATATAGGTTCAATCTTTTATTAGAGATAATCTTTTTTATTAGAGTTTTAATAAATAAATAAATAAATAAATATATATATATATATACACACACCTATATATATCTATAATTCAATCTATATAATAAGCAATTCAAATGCGTATTTTAAAATCTATATAATAAATTAGATAAATTTATTTGTCTTGAAATTTTTGCTGCTCGAATCGTTTGAGAATTATTGATCCAACAATTCTAATTAAACTTTCCTTCATTTTAAAACTCTAAGACTTCCATCTTTAATATAACTCTCTTTCTCTTTATATCTCATACACCAACTCTCATTTGTATATAACCTTCTCTCTCTCCCTCCCAGATATTTTAAACACACTCTCCCATCTCTTATACTCTCTCTCTATATATATATGAGATAGAATGAAAATCAAATTAGGATCATTAAAACAAACAAGTTATCTCATACTTTCTCTTTTAGTATTATTTGTTTGTCTTGACGATCTTAATTAAACTTATTTACTCAAAACATTTGTATGATTTTATAGATTAAAAAAAATATAAATAAAATTCAAGTTGATCACCAATAAAAAATAACGAGTGTTACCAATTGCACAAAAAAAAAAAATTCAAGATCAAGCTAATCACTAATAAAAAATAACAAGTGATATCAATTGCACCAAAAAAAATTTTAAAATTATGCACCAAAAAAAGAAGACAATATTCTAAAGCAACTATCAATTTTTTTTTCCTTATTTGCTTCACTTTCCCCTTGTTAATGTTCATATTTTTTAAATACTTGAATAGTTTAAAATAGATACTGAAACGATAAAAGAGTTAGTTAAATCAATTTTTTTTTATGTAGTGAATGTTTGATTTTGTTGTTTTGGTTTAATTGTAGCGTGAGAATATTTCTGTAGCATCCTAGAAGTCATAGTAGCAGATAATTTAAATAAATTGTCCTTTCAGCTACAAGCAAATTCGTTGGACAATATTGTTCAATTGGATATTTTTTTTATTTTTTGAATATTTAATTTGTAATTCAATGTGAACTAGAAAACATATTCATTGGATTTATCAAGAGGTTGAAAAAATGAACACTCATTAGAAAGAAGAATCGCCATGAATAAATATATGACTGGATAATTTTGTAATGATGTTAATTTAAGTTCATAGGGATTTTCGAATCGTGTTAATGTAATATAATTTTTTCATTTCAATCATTGGACTTTTTTTATTTAAGACATTCCTAAATGTCCCATTTGTTTGAAATTTTTTTTATGTTAAGAGTGCCTTCAGATACGGATAATGACTAGTAATTATATAAGGGATCAAGTTAGATTGATTAAATCAAAAGTCTCACAGTATAATCAGTTCATAAACACCAATTTAGAAAGAAAAAAAAATGAAATTGTTATACTGGGATCTAGGGTTTTAGATTGAAAAAATTGTGTGATTTTAATCAAAATGTTGAAGTTTATGATTGACCGGTTGGTTAAACATTGAAAGTTTTGCTCGTTTGATTTAGTCAAACAGTGTTTGCTAATGAATTGGCAAAGTGGTGGCAAACATAAGCATTAAACTAAACCGATCTCATCTGCATCTTTCTAAATGAAAAATAGTGCATATGACAAACACATTAATTATAAACTATGTTCTGGATAAAAAGTTGATGGAACCCTCTCAACCACCCAAAACCTCTGTCAAACCCTCTTACCTAGTCTCCTTGAAAAGCCCTTTTCTCCATTTAAGTATGTCACTGCTGAATCAGTCACCCTGCTCTCTAATGGAACAATCTATCTAATATTATTATTAGAAAGTTAAATTCTTAATTTATAAAAACACAGTGACGGTTAAGATTAATCTAATTTTTATCTATTTTAATCCAATGGTGCGAAATCATTTTAACTTTTTTTAATGCTAGACAATTTAATCAATATACTCTCCAATGTTAAATAATCCGTCAATCTATATCTACCTCACTCTTTATTTTATTTTAAATTACATAATTAAAAAATTAAATTAAATTATTACCGGCCATACTTATAGGTATATGTCAATTCAGCTAGGGTACTAGATATTTATGGTCTGCAATTTAATTGGTAACCCTTCAATCATAGGCTGAACATTTAATGATTTTAGCAAATTATCTATCAGGAATATAATAGTTCCGGCATGGATGACCTGCCTTTGACCTGACGGAAGAGAAAATTAATCGAAATGCACGTAAGTTGATCCGAACATTTTTTACTTTTAAACCAAAAACAACATTAAAATACATTGGGCAGTGTCACGGAATGATATTATTTGAACCTTGACCAATTCTTTGAACCATGGTTATGATTCTAAAAGCCATGATCAAGGTTATGGAAGTAAACTCATCTCCAAAAGACATTATACTCGGTCAACTTTATCTATAAGCATTAGCTTAGCAAGAAATTTCGTACTACTAGCATGGGAAATGTTGCAACAAAGTCAGAAATACAAATCCATCGTCTAAGCTTTCTTTATTCTTTTAATTCCAATCAGAAAGCAATCTTAAAGCAAAACAAAAGAAAATCTGTCAACTGCTATGTGCCTCTGGAGCTGACCAAGTCCATGATTTTAGTTTGACCATTCTAGCAGAAAAAGCTTATTTTCAATAGAGTAACAAGATTTGCAATTCAAACTTTCAGAGACTCGATCACAGACACGCCCAGTGAGAATTAGGTAGCAGTAGCAATTCAGAACTTGCAAGATCAGAGGTTTTCATACAGGGAAGCTCATGTCAAGCGGTGGTTCTGATTTTATGTTGGTATGAGTTCATTATTTTTCAATTTCTGTTTCTTTTTCATGATTTTAGTACTCAGAAAGTCAGATATTGATCATTCTCTGACAAAATTTCTTTCATTCGCCAACATTGGAATTGATTTCGCAGTTGTACAACGTACTCTGATGATTTATAATGTCATTCGCAATCTTCAGTCTTTATACATGTTTACTCTTATCTTTAGTGCAAAAAAAGAATGTTACAGAGAAAGAAATGCACTTGTAGATGCTTAAGGCTTCTTTAAGCATTTTCTTCCAGATCTAAATAAAAGTCTGGGTCCAAAGAGTTTCTGAAATCAGCGATATAGCTGAAACAATTTCACTTTTTCTTCAGCCCAAGGGAGACTTGAATTCAGTTGATAGCCTCGCGAATTCCTTGCTGGTATCTATTTCGGAGATCACTGCTTCAGTGGTATGTATGGAGATAAAGCATGAGAACTTCATCGAAATTGGATGTTATCTTTACCGAGCTTCAATAGTCATACTTGAGTTGCAGACAACCAAGAATACTCCAGCAAAAGCAGTAGAGATCTTACAATCACTATCCAGAAGTGTCAATTTGGCTAAAGAATTTATTGGGGAATGCCAAAAGTTTGTACATACAATTCAGGATTCTGAACTAGGAAGCATTATGGAACAGCTTGAATGGTTGATAAGAAACATAGGCGAAAACCTGAGTTTGATACCATCATCAGCAGCAGATGGTGACCAAGATTATGTAGATATTGCTGTTAAGTCTATTTCATGGGAGATGAAATATGGCCACTTTGAAGCTAGCCAAATTCAAGTATCCGAGGAAAAAGATCAGGAAAGGTGTGTGTTGTCTTTAGAGGAACTGCCAAAGCAAGAACCAGCATCAACAGAAAAAGAAACAGAAACAGATCTATACCCTATCGACTTTGAAGTCTCCATGGAGAATCTTCAATTATCGGATACACCACATCACCATCAGTTTGACCTCCTTGGAAGCACGGATAGCAGAAGTGAAATAAAGGATGAAAACAGCAGCACTGGCCCATCGATGACTTTGCCACAGGTGGCTCAGTACATGGAACCTATGTATGAAACATTCTTCTGTCCATTGACGAAGAAGATTATGGATGACCCGGTCACCATAGAAAGTGGAGTGACCTATGAGAGGAAGGCAGTTACAGAATGGTACAATGAGTTTGAAAACACAGAGGAAGTTGTCTGTCCAAAGACAGGACAAAAGCTGGTGAGTAGAGCTCTGAGTACCAATTTGGCTTTGAAGGCGACAATAGACGAGTGGAAGGAAAGAAATGATGAAGCAAGGGTGAAGGTTGCCAGGGCAGCTTTGTCTTTGGCAAGTACCGATGAAATGATACTCGAGGCGATTAATGATTTGCAAAGTATATGTCAAAGGAAGCAGGATAATAAAGTAAAGGTTTGCAACACTGGGATAATACCATTACTTGCTCAGTTTATGAGTTACAAAGACAGAAATGTGAGGTTTGCAACACTGAAATTATTGCAAAAATTGGCTGAGGATGATGATAATGGCAAGGTGAATTCCTTTTTTGCGTTTTATTTTTCTTTTTCGTTTACTTTCTGAAACCATAAAAAGATGTCACATGGCCAGAACACCAAATATGATCTACTGAGATTGGAGTTTACCATGGTTTGATTTTCCTTTCTCCGCTTTTCTGAAAGCAGAGTATATTTCATTGTTTGAGATGTAGTCTCTCTTCATTACAAAACAAAACAAGGTCTGCTATAATACCCTTGTCACCAGGTTTACAATCACATTGACTATTAGAAAGGATTTGTTCAAGGTTCACTGTCAAGTTATGATTTTTGCTTCATACATCAGACATGAATAGGAACAATCGATGTCATGGTCTCATGTTCATTGCTCGTTACATAGTTTTCTGCTACACATACAAGCATGTTAACCATTAAGAAATCATAACTACAAATTACATGACATAAGAAGAGGTGGGACCACATAATGGCACTGTGACGATGCCGATCCATGTCGTGGGTACAACACATGGATCCCACCCCTTCCCCTCCCCCCAAAAAAAAAAGAAAAAAAATTTGTTGATTTCATAAGTAAAATAACATTTTATGCACTTTCCTCAAGCACCACAAAATAAAGGGAACTCACAAAATATACTCTCTGGAAATTTATGTCTAGTCTGGCGGTTATATGTGTGCAGGAAATCATTGGCAAGACAATTTCCCTTCCGACAGTAATAAAGATGTTATCGAGTAATCACCAACCGATTAGGCATGCATCACTGCTACTGTTGCTTGAGCTTTCAAGATCTCAACCTATGTGTGAGAAAATCGGGTCGGTTACTGGAGGGATTCTGATGCTGATCACAATTAAGTACAGACAGTCTGCTGATGCCTTTGCTTCAGAAAATGCTGATGAAATCTTGAAGAATTTGGAGAGGATTACAGACAATATCAAGTTCATGGCAGACAATGGACACTGGCAGCCCCTTTTAGACCATCTTATTGAAGGTAATTAATTCATCATATCTTGTTAATTTTTAGGTTTTCAGAGCATTTTTTTAGAAAACTGATCACTGGAGTAGTACAACAACATATTGCCAAAGCTTAATTTATGTCTCATATAGACATGTGGCGCTATCATAGATGTAAATCAACTTAGGAAATGTGAACGAAATAGTAAATCAACTTAGCTAGAGGTAGACGTAAGCCAAAAATAACTGTGAACGAAATAGTAAAAAAAGATATTATAGCTTATGGTCTAACGGAACATGAAGCGTCTGATGGAGTGCAATGAAAAAACAGGATCCATGTAGCCGACCCTAAATATTTGGGATTAAGGGTTTGTTGAGTTGACTTGAGAAATAAACAGGTTGTGAAGAAATGAAGATGGAGATGGCGAGCTACCTTGGTGATATTATTCTTGGGCCTGATTGCAGAACCTATGTGGCTGAGAAGGCATCTCCGGCTCTCATCAAAATGGTGCACTGTGGAGACAGTCTTACCAGGAATGCTGCATTCAAAGCTCTGAAGCAAATCTCTTCTTACCACCAAAATGGAAAAATACTCAAAGAATCTGGAGTTGTGCAAATCATGGTGAAAGAGATGTTCTCGCGGACAATCTACAATGAACCAATGGACTCTAGAAAAGAAGCAGCTGCAATACTTGCAAATATACTTGAGACTGGGATAGAGCTAGAAAACCTGCAAGTAAACACGCATGGCCATACAATGAGGTCAGACTACATTATATACAATATCATCTGTGGGCTCAAGAACTCAACCCCGGATGACCTCAACATTAGCCTCATCAGAATTCTCTTATGCCTGATGAGGGCCCCCAAATCATCAGCTACCATAGTCTCAGTGGTTAAAGAGACTGATGCTAGTTACAATCTGATTGAACTCATCAATAACCCAAATGAAGAACTTGGGGTTTCATCAATCAGATTACTTGTCTCACTCTCACCCTTCATGGGCCACACAATAATTGAGAAATTATGCAAAACCAGAGGCCAACCTGAGAGCCTAATCATGAGTCCAACTGAAACATCCCACCTCACAGAGAAGCATGCAGTTTCAGCCAATTTCCTGGCAAAGCTTCCCCATCAGAACCTAACACTCAATTTAGCTCTGCAAAACAAGGGTACAGTGCCCACGGTTCTACAAAGTATCAATCAAATCCAAAGAATTGGTACGCGAGCAAACAGGTTTGCAGGTGCTTACTTCGAAAGTCTGCTGGGTATTCTTGTCAGATTCACAACAACACTTTACGATTACCAAGTATTGTCTTTAGCAAGAGAATACAACTTCACATCAGTATTCACAGAATTGCTCTTGACAACTTCTTGTGATGAGGTTCATAGGTTATCAGCTATTGGACTGGAGAATCTATCATTGCAATCAGTTAATCTGTCAAAACCACCACAAATTAAGAGAACCAAGTTCATGAAAGTTTTACAAAAGTGTCTCTCTTTTGAGTCAGCAAAAGCAAAGAAAATCCTGATATGTCCAGTTCACAGAGGAGCTTGTTCTTCCCAATACACCTTTTGTCTGCTTGATGCCAAGGCAGTTGAGAGGCTGTTGGCCTGCTTGGACCACGAGAATGTTGAAGTGGTAGAGGCTGCATTGTCAGCTATATGTACATTGATGGATGACAATGTTGATGTGGACAAGAGCGTGAACATGTTGAGTGAAATGCATACTATTCAACAAGTGTTAAAAGTGTTGGGGAAGCACAAAGGAGAGCGTCTATGGCAGAAATCATTTTGGGTGATAGAGAGGTTCTTGAGGAAGGGTGGAGATACATCTGCATCCGATATATCCCAGGACAGATTGTTTCCTGCTACACTGATCAGTGCATTTCACCATGGGGACATGAGTACTAGACAGATGGCTGAGAAAATATTGAGGCACTTGAACAAGATGCCAAATTTCACCACAGATTTTACCATGTAAATTCTCTTGTGCATATACCAAACTCTTGTTCAGTATGTTGTATCTACGTATATAGTGCAAGTGTACCACAAATATCATATCGATGGAAACTAAATGATGAATTTGGAATCCATAATCCACAATATCCTTTAATCTGATAAGATTTTGGTAATTAGCTCTTATTCTTAGTGTTTGTTGGGAGGGGTAGTGGATTTGAGTGTTAATTGCCAACCACAGATAAGATGGAGCAACATGATAATATGACCTACAGTTCAAAAGGTTTTGAAAAACTAGCCAAAACTGTAGCCATGCTAACAACAATTCCCACTATATAATTGTTGGAAGGTGTATGTTAGATAATGGAGACAAAGATGAAACCTAGAATCCAAGGCACGAATGTATTCGCTATCTTTTAGACAAGTTAGTTGCCCTTCCAATAAGTACAACGAGTGCAAAAAGGATTAGGAAGGCAAATTGTCCCTAAGATACAATGGACCTAGATTTACCTGTTACTATTGGAAGGGTTTGCATAACCTAAAGAAAATAGGGGGTGATGCATTAGACTGAAGAGAAGTATTAAATTGGTTCATACCATAATTGCGGAAGACATTTAAAGATCAGGTAGAAGATGAAATAACAACTAGTTAATTTAAGATAAGGATTCAATTACAAGTAACTAAAATTGATGGGCCAGGCCCAAAGGCCCAACCCATGTTATAAGCTTGGTCCGAGCTAAAGGTCCAATGTCAAAAGATCCAACTAGTCAAGCCCAAAGGAGTCTATATCCGAATAACCTTATCAAGGTCAAGGAATTGCAAGGGAGCATGCATGGTCATCCAAGAGTCTCCTCTACCACCTTGGAGTAAGGGTCATCTAAGAGCCTCTTCTACCACCTTGGAGTAAGGGTCATCCAAGAGCCTCCTCTACGCCACCAAGGGAGCATCCAGGAGCCTCACTCTCGCAGTCTGGAGAGAGTCAACCTCCCTCATCTTTGAACAAGTTCTTTCGAGAGCACACCAACCGTCACACCTCGCCCGTTGAAAAGGTGATAGGTCGCCTCCACCAAATCAGCTACCTAATTACTATCAAACGGTTCTAAGCCATTATGACCGTCAGACTAGTCATACAATTACTATACAAAGCCACTATAAATTGTAAGCTCCCCCAACACTTGGGGGGCATCAGACTCATTTGAGCATAATTATCTCATCCCCTCTCAAAACTTGTAATCATGTGCTCTCCCTCCACACCATAGATAATAAAATTCTGGCGAACCTAGCCATTCAAAGTGGACGTAGGTTGTATTGACCAAACCACTATATATCACGTCTTCTCTCTTCTTCTATTTACTGCATTTTATACTACAACGTGACTAGTGGTGTGCAAACTAATTTGTGCATCATCAATTTGGTGCCGTCTGTGGGAACGACAGTTCTCACCTAGCCACTTTCCTTTGCTGAGTCAAAGTCGATCACCAACAGATCCATAAATCAGCCTAAAGATAACCCACCACCAAGAGAGGAGGAGATTGCTCCTCAACCAACCAATCCTGCCCCAAATGAGCAGCAGATGCTTGAGACCATGCAGTAACTTGCAGTTCAGAACCAACAGATTCTATAACTAATTCTCCTTGGGCATCAAAGAGTTCCCCACATGGGTGCTCCTCATCTGAGCGCCCCCTTTGGAGCCCCCTCAGGCGCCTCGCACAGGGGAGCTCCCCACAAGGGACCTCCACCTCCTCTTCCAACTCCCTCTTTTCATGATAGAGACCTTCTTTTTCAAGAGGACGAGGGTGAAAACCAAAGCTTGGAGCATGAGAGTCATATCCATGGTAATTCCAAGAGACCTCCTCCTAATCATTGAGACGAAAAAATTAAGGAGGTGCAGAATCAATTAGGTGATGTCTTCAACGCCATGAAGGCACAAGGACCCGAGATAGTGGATTACCTTGTAAGTTAAATCGGCACACCTTTCAAACCTGACGTGGCGAACTACCCACTCCCTCAAAAATTCAAGATGTCATCCGTCGAAACCTTTGATGGTACGAAGGATCTATTGGACCACGAAACTTTTAAGACCTTGATGCAACTGCACAACGTCCTTGACGAAATCATGTGCAGAGCGTTCTCAACCACCTTGAAGGGATCCGCTCGATAGTGGTTCGCCAAGATCACCCCCGCTTCCATCGGCTCATTTGCTGAGCTGAGCAGATCCTTCATGTTGCACTTTATTGGAGGACGCCGTCACCAGAAGCCTGCCACCCACCTACTCAGTATAAACTAGGACTGAGATGAGAGCCTGCGAAGCTACCTCACTCATTTTAATGAGGAGGTTCTTCAGGTCGAAGAGCCTGATGAAAAAGTCAGCATGATCGCCTTCTTGGGAGGCCTTCGGTCATCGAGCTTCCTTTTCTCCGTGATGAAACGCCCACCAAAGAGCATGCCAGAACTATTGGCAAAAGTTCAAAAATTTATGAATGCTGAGGAAATCAACAGGTCCAAGCAAGGTGAATCATCTCATGGATCGCCAAAAGCTTGACCTGCCTCTACACTGTTCTTAAACAGGTAGTTTATCTCTAGCTTAGCAGCTCTCTCGAGGGTCGCCAAAAATTTTGGCCTACCTCTACACTGTTCTTAAATAGGTAGTCTATCTCTAACTTAGCGGCTCTCTCGAGGGTCGCCAAAAAGCTTGACCTACCTCTACATTATTCTTAAACAGGTAGTCTATCTCCAGCTTAGTGGCTCTCTCGAGGGTTGCCAAAAAGTTTGGCCTACCTCTACACTTTTCTTAAACAGGTAGTCTATCTCTAACTTAGCGGCTCTCTCGAGGGTCGCCAAAAAGCTTGGCCTACCTCTACACTGTTCTTAAACAGGTAGTCTATCTTCATCTTAACGGCTCTCTCAAGGGTCTCCAAAAAGCTTGCCTACCTCTGCACTGTTCTCAAATAGGCAGCCTATCTCCAACTTAGTGGCTCTCTCGTGGGTCGCCAAAAAAGCTTGATCTCTGCACTGTTTTCAAACAAGCAGTCTATCTCCTGGCTCTCTCATAAATCGCCAAAAAAGCTTGGCATCTACTTTGCTCTCAAGCAAGTAGCCTATACCTCAAGCTTAAAGATTCTCTCATGGGTCGCCAAAAACTCGGTCTCAAAAGGTGTAGCTCTCTCACGAGCACTCCTCAAACTCTGTCTTGCTCTCGTGCAAGTAGCCTGCCTCTCTCTTCAGGTAATCATGTTAAATATTTTAATGTTTGGAATAACATTATTTTTGTCATCATAAGCAGGTCTACCCATCTCAGCTCGGCGACATAGAACCGTTGGGGAATGTGATAAGAAAAAACAATCCTCAGAATATCCTGAAAGAATTTGATTTTGAGAAGGTACACTGAGAGGAGCTGGACTATCACCGCTGAAAGTGTCTGGCGTACTCTGCCCCCGGGCTCCAGAATCAGGCTTGCCAAGAAATTCCTGGGCAACCCTGCCTGCATGGGCGAGAACTGAACTCCCTACAGGGGCATCCAAAGCTCCTTGGCCACCTGAACTCCTCGAATCATCACTAAAAAATGGCACCCAAAATTTTCTTATAGCTTGCACTACTCAACCCAGTGCCTAGAGAGATGCTTAACCCCCTCTGCTCGCTTAAATGGGCAGCCTAGTGCCTAGAGAGGTGTCTGGCCCCCTCTGCTCGTACAAGCGAAGTAGTCCTGCTGGCGCCCAACCATTTGTGCTTGCCCAAAATGGCGCCTTTTGGTGCCTTCACGCCAAGACCAGCCTTCTTTCCACCTCCCTGCTCACCAGGATCAGCGCCTCTAGGCGCCTGATGAACCAGATTAGCACGCCTAGCGTGCAAGCCAGCATGCATGAAGACTCGAGTAGCCCCCTCACCTACTGTGTGAACTGTAGCAATATACAACGATGTCGCTTGCTCGCCCAGGCCCCTTCTTGACGCCTGCCTTCCCATCTCCACGCCAGACCACCCCTCCTATGCGAGCAAGCTGCTTCTCAAGACGACCTAGAGTGGTGNAAGCTACCTCACTCATTTTAATGAGGAGGTTCTTCAGGTCGAAGAGTCTGATGAAAAAGTCAGCATGATCGCCTTCTTGGGAGGCCTTCGGTCATCGAGCTTCCTTTTCTCCGTGATGAAACGCCCACCAAAGAGCATGCCAGAACTATTGGCAAAAGTTTAAAATTTTATGAATGCTGAGGAAATCAACAGGTCCAAGCAAGGTGAATCATCTCATGGATCGCCAAAAGCTTGACCTGCCTCTACACTGTTCTTAAACAGGTAGTTTATCTCTAGCTTAGCAGCTCTCTCGAGGGTCGCCAAAAAGCTTGGCCTACCTCTACACTGTTCTTAAATAGGTAGTCTATCTCTAACTTAGCGGCTCTCTCGAGGGTCGCCAAAAAGCTTGACCTACCTCTACATTATTCTTAAACAGGTAGTCTATCTCCAGCTTAGTGACTCTCTCGAGGGTTGCCAAAAAGCTTGGCCTACCTCTACACTTTTCTTAAATAGGTAGTCTATCTCTAGCTTAGCGGCTCTCTCGAGGGTCGCCAAAAAGCTTGGCCTACTTCTACATTGTTCTTAAACAGGTAGTCTATCTTCATCTTAACGGCTCTCTCAAGGGTCGCCAAAAAGCTTGCCTACCTCTGCATTGTTCTCAAATAGGCAGCCTATCTCCAGCTTAGCGACTCTCTCGTGGGTCGCCAAAAAAGCTTGATCTCTGCACTGTTTTCAAACAAGCAGTCTATCTCCTGGCTCTCTCATAAGTCGCCAAAAAAGCTTGGCATCTACTTTGCTCTCAAGCAAGTTGCCTATACCTCAAGCTTAAAGATTCTCTCATGGGTCGCCAAAAACTCGGTNATCAAATCGAAGCTCTCAACGAGCTGAGCAAAACTCATTATTGTTGGTAATGAGCTTTCTAGAAAAAAAGTCCAAAAAACGTCTAGAAAGAGGTGTTTTGGCCTCCCAAAATTTTTTATAAAAAAAAAAAAAAAAATTGCCCAAGAGGTTGTATGCTCGCCCAAAAGCTGGCTGTTCGCCCAAAAACGTGCCCCTGGCTCCCTACTCGTTATTTTGACCGNTGTCATCATAAGCAGGTCTACCCATCTCAGCTCGGCGACATAGAAC